AAACTTGGCCAAGAAAACCCCAAACAGGGTCACAAAGAGTTGGACACCACTGAAAACAACTGAACAACAACAAAAAACCATAGACAATGCAATAACGTTAAAAAAAATTCACAGCAGCTTTCTCTGATAAAGGCCTCATTTCTCGAATATATACTAAACTGGGTCAAACTTATAAAAATAAGAGCCATTCCCCCAGTTAATAAATGATCAAAGGATGTGAACAGGAAGTTTTCAGAAGAAATCAATGCTACCTATAATCATATGAAAAAATGCTCTAAATCACTATTGATTAGAGAAATGCAAATTAAAACAACTCTGAGGTACCACTTCATACCTATCAGATTGGCTAACATGATGGAAAAGGAAAATAACAAAAGCTGGAGATGTGGAAAAATAGGGACACTAATGCACTGTTGGTGGAGTTGATAAACTGGTACAACCATTCTGGAGGACATTTTGAAACTATGCCCAAAGAACTATAAAACTACACATACCATTTGACTCAGCAGTACCACTATTGGTGCCCTGCACCCTAAAGAGATCAAAGGAAAAGTATCTATATGTAGAAAATATTTGTTAACAGATCTTTTTGGGGGGAATAAAGAATTGAAAATTAAGGAGATGCCCATTAATTGGAGAATGGCTGAACAAGTTGTGGTATATGATTGTGATGGAATACTATTGTGTATAAGAAATGACAACAGGGGTGGTTTCAGAAAAACCTGGAAAGACTTATGTGAAGTAATGCAGAATGAAGTGAACAGAACCAGGAGATCATTGTACGTAATTACAGCAATATTGTAATGATGATCAACTGTGAAAGACCATCATACACCAAAGCTACTCCAATCAATACAATAATCCAAGACAATTCTGGACTCATAATGAAAAATACTATCCACCTCTAGAGAATCAATGAACTCTAAGTGCAAACTGAAGTATAATTTTTCCACTTTATTTTTCTTGCCTTTTTGGCTAATATGGAAATGTTTTGCATGATTTCACATGCATAACTGATATCATGATGCTTGCCTTCTCAGTGAGCGGGGAAGAGGCTAGAGGAAGGGAGAGACTTTGGGACTCAATTTTTTTAAAAGAATGTTAGAAATAAATAAATAACTTTTAAAAATGAAAAGAAGGTGAAAAGGCTGAATGATATGTTTTGCTGCTATTGAGGACACTGAGGTAATAAAATAGATCAGAAAGCACCTCTTGTAAATAGTACAGATCACAAGAAATAGGGTGTAGTGAAAATGTAAAAGTCAGCTGGCCATGCAGCTTTTTTATTTCTTAAAAAATTTAATATTTTATTTTTTCCCAATTACATGGAAAAACAATTTTCAACTTTTGTTTTTCAAAATTTTTGAGTTCCAAATTCTCTCTCTGACTTCCTCCTCTTCCCCTCCCCCACTGAAAAGGCAAGCAATCTGATATAGGTTATACATGTGCAGTCATGCAAAACATATTTCCACGTTAGGTCATGCAGCTTTTAGAAAAAGTTACTGGCACCATAAATTGGGAATGGATGGACATTATATGATGGAATACAATTGTGCTAAAAGCAGTTATGGTGGAGATGGCTTTAGAGAAAATTGTATGAACAGATGCAGAGAGAAGTGAATAGAACCAGAATAATTTATACAACTATACAGTAAAGACAAACAATTTTGAAAGAATTAAGAATTCTTATCAGTGTTATGACCAGTCATGATTCCAGAGGACTAGTACATGCTACCCACTTCCTGTCAGAGAGGTGAAGAATTCAGAGTGTCTAATGAGACAAACATTTCTTTGGATATGGCCATTGTGGACACTTGTTTTGCTTGACTATATCTATTTGTAACAGGTTTTGTTTTTCTTTTTGTTCTCAGTTGGTGGTGAGTGGGGTGTGAAAGAGGTCAAGAAGTCAGATTTTTGTTTCTTGAAAAAATAAAATGTCATTTTTTCAAAATTATTGGCATCAACACCAGCTTAATCTGTGGCAGCTGACTGCCACTCAAGGTAATTTTGCTCTCCAGAGGAACCTGCTTACACTGTAGACTGAAGTGTGACAAACTTTGATTTATTTATTGCCTAGAAATCTGAACGTAGATTGGATCATATCTGAATCTTCTTGGAACTTGTACCCCATGAGATTAAGTTTGGGGAGAATCCCCCACTGATTAATTTTACAATTGTTAAGCCTGTAAAGACCAGTTTGCCTGGTAAAGGCTCAGTCTTCAAAAATACATGTATACCAAGACTTCAAATGATTGAGAAACAAGACGTTGCCCTCTCCCTAGCAACTTCCTTGACACGGCACAATTACAGTTGTTTCTCTAGGCCCCTGCCCCTCATTAGTTATTAGGCAATTCAGAGAATACTCTGATTTTAGTGGTCCAGACTAGCCCATTGCCTTGACTCATGGGTGATGGGGCAGTCATCTTCTATTAGAGTCTTGTCAGCAACTATAAAAGTACAACCCCCTGAGTGGTTCAGTGGGCCTTGGTTTGAACTGAGCATCTTGCTGCATGGCCAAGCTACCAGGCTGCCTGCAGAGCTGGAAGTCTCACACCTACACTATTTCCCATTGCTTCCCATGTTTCCCATCCTCCCATGACTATCATCCCAGTGTGGGAGGGTTGCTCTTTGGGAAAAGCTCCCTCCTCTTTTGCCTTGCAATCATTTTGATTTGTTAATCTCTTCTGACTCAATATTGATTAGTTCTACAATGCTCTTGCTTTACTGTTGCTGTTGGTAACTTGTCACTATCATTATAACTGCTGGCATGAGCACCTTCTACTTGGAAGTCCATTCACAGAACCTCAGGTCTTTTAAGGATATAACATGAAAGTTTGGGGCTCTCAGACCAGGATTTTGACCTCCAACAATGACCATTGATTCATAATATTTATAGATTAGTTTGCCCAGGAACACAGGCCAGCACAAATACTTCCCAATCCCCAGCTCCAAGGCACAAGCCAATGCAGCTATGGGGGATGGTTACAAATAGCATCACTGGCTGGTTGGGGTATTGTATTTGCAGGGGCCCATCAAGTCCAGGAACATTCAAAGGACCAGAGATGACCAGACAAGGTATTTTTCCTCAAGGCTGGCAACTGTATGCCCTCAGCATAGCCAAAGTCTTCTGAAACCCAGTTTGACTGGATTTTCAGTTCAGCTCAAGAAATAAGCTACTCCAGCCTTCAGGCACATGCAGTACCAGGTGGTATGAGTGGATAAACCCTGGCCTTGGGGTAACACTGCTCCTTTTATCACACTAAGTCAGTGTCACTCCTCCCTTTTAACTGATAATTATAGGCTGTCCTAAGTCAGTTACAGTATAACTCTTATTCAAGACTGGTTACTTCTGAGTCCAAAGGAAAGCTTTACTCATGACTGGTTGTCTCGGAATATGCCCCTGTTTTGCTCCAATAAAAGTGGAATTCAGGAGAGGAGAATGTCATGAAAGAATGTTTGTAAAGTGCAGTGAAAACTTAAAGTGCTATATAAACTCAGCAACTCTTACTATATTATGATTATATACTATGTGGCATATTGACAACACATAGTACTAGAAGCTTCGGAAAAGAAAAAATCTAGAGGTTCTGAACAAAACTTACCATGTTTTAGTATAGTAATCTAGTGATTGCTATAATTCTAAACCAATTAGATCATAGATAATATTTCTGAAGAAACCGGATGGTTAAATAACTTTATAATAGACTTAAATAATTTGATATGGTTTATAATTATGACAATGAAGGGAACTTACTGTACAAGATGGAACTCATTGAGACTACTTCTATCTTCTTCTTTGATTGTGTTTCTGTTTCGATCTTGTGATTACCTGTTAGATCAGACACCTGTTAGATCAGACACTGGTTAGATCAGATACTGTGTAAGCAGCCTAGTCCAGGAGATTTTAACTTTGTTCGTGTTGTGGACCCCTCTGGCAGTCTGCTGAAGTCAAGCTAGTGCTTCCCAGAATCATACTTTTAAATGCATAAAATAGAAACCATAAGATTAGTAAATAAACTAATTGTATTTAAATATAGCTATCAAAATACATATTTTTTCAAAGTTCACAGACCACAGGTTAAGAACACCTGCTCTACTCTCTTGTCTTGGCCTCTTTCGGTCGGTGGAGTGCCTGTTAGCGCAGGCTGCGGTGTAAAGATGGCTAAGTCTAAGAACTATACCACCCATAACCAGTCACGAAAATGGCACAGAAATGGCATCAAGAAACCTAGGTCACAGAGATACGAGTCTCTGAAAGGGGTTGACCCCAAGTTTCTGAGAAACATGCGCTTTGCCAAGAAACACAACAAGGGGCTGAAGAAGATGCAGGCCAACAACGCCAAAGCCATCAAAGCACGAGCAGAGGCCATCAAGGCCCTGAGCACCAAGGCCTCCAAGGCCAAGCTCCTCAGGCCCAAGATGCCCAAGGCCAGTGCCTGGCATGCTGGACATAAGATGGCCACCAAGCGTCCAGGCCCTAGAGTCGGCATCAAACAGCCAGGCCCCAGGATCACAAAGCCTGACTCTAAGGTTGCCAGAACCGCTGACCCCAACGCTGCCAAGTTCCACTGACCCCGAGGCTACCAAGGCTGCCAAGCCTACTGACCCCAAGGCTGCCAAGTCTGCCGCCAAGGTCAGTAAGTCTGATCCCAAGGCTACCAAATCTGGTCCCAGACCCAGCAAATCTGAAGCCAAGGTCGCCAAGTCTGATCCCAAGGCCACAAAGCCCAGTGATTCCAAGCCTGCTAAGCCTGCTGAGTCCAAACCCAAAGATGCTGGGGCTAAAGCTGCTAGTCCCAAGCCTTCAAAATAGATGCTTCAGGACAGAAGGACTTGTTTAAACCCTAAACTACCATTTTTTCCCAGTCAGGGTATGATTATTCTATTCACTATTTTGTACACATAAAGAAAATGGTGAGTCATAAGAAAAAAAAAAAGAACACCTGCTCTAACCTGATATGGTAGGCACACTGATGAATTGGCAACTGAAGCAGCTTATGAGCAGGTTACTTAAATGACATACATCTGTTCATAAATGACATACTAAAGTCCTAATAAGAATCCCAAGTGGCATCTATAGAATCTCCTCCAGGTGAATAAATTGGGGAAGTGAGAGAAACTGAAGAAGGGGCCTCAAGAAGCTGATGGTTGGGGTTTTCTGAAGATCCCATTGTTTTCTGATCCCTGAAAGGATCAGACTCCAACTTGGTTGACCACAAGAAGGCCTGGCTATGACATCCTTGGGTTAGTATGAAGACATGTTACATGAACTAACAATGCAGGAAGCAAACTTTAGTCAGAAGCAAAATAGGATTAGAATAACCAATGTTGGTTTAGGAGAACAGATGATAAAATATACTTCCATCCTTTGCGGGGTGGGAGGTAGAGGAGAAGGAGAAGAGTAATGAGTGCAGAATGTTGAATGTAATGTCAGATAGTTGCTGTGTCAATTGATTTTGCTTAACTGTTTTAATTTGTTTTAAGGGAATATGGGGCAGGGGGAGAGATTTGATTTCCTGATTCTTATAATCAGGAAATGACTGTGGTATAAAGCAAAATCATCAATAAAACTTTTTTTTAAAAAAAAACTACAAAATTAAATGAAATCAGGTCCAGCAAATCATTCAAAGATCAGTCTGTCCAAATCAAATCCTGGCAGAACACCATCAAATTCTCCATCACCACCAGTGTCCCTCCCTCCCTTTTACAGTCAGTTCCTCTACTATTGTTCTTGAGAAAAATTTCCAGCTGCTCCATAAGCATCTTTTATGCAGCTATCTGACTTGTACATAGAAAGAAGAAATAAATGTTTGCAAGGTCAGCCTGAAATTGGAAGAGATATGCTAAAACAGAAGAATGCTTCTAAGACACCCCTTTCATGGGAATCCATAGTAGAAGGAATAAAGGGATGCAGGATAAGAGGAGTAGTAATAACTCTAAAACTGACAGTTCTTTTTTTTTAAATCTCCCAGTGCTATCCTATGTCTCTTTTATTAGTTTTGTTTTGTTTTGTTTTTCTTTTTAGGCAGTTGGGGTTAAGTGACTTGCCCAGGGTCACACAGCTAGTAAGTGTCAAGTGTTTGGTCTACGACTGGATTTGAACTCAGGTCCTCCTGACTTCAGCCCCATCTTTTTGGTTTATACAAATTATTTTCACAGTCCGCTGTCAGAACAGCCTTTCCTTAGGCAATACCATCCTGATGTTCCTGAACATGAAAATCACCAATTTCCTCATCCATGGAGCCTGATTTTTAACACCACCAGAATTAGCCACCGTCATAATGATACCGTCATTGCTCCCAAACGAATGGAGTCTTAACTGAAATAACCCAGTTAATGCTGTGGGCCTCAATAGGGATTGCCATTCCAAAACCCCAACCCTTTATATTTGTTATTTTCGGGCAGAGCCACCACAGAGCTGTCAACAACGAACTCAAGGGTAGCTAATTATACCTCTCCAAAAACCTACTGCATCGCTAGGACTTGACTTTGTATTACCAAAGAGTGGACTACGGTCGACTGTGACTTTTGAATCAGCTTGAAAGGTGAAAATCTTGTACTTACTCAATTTGCTTTCCACATGATAGCAACATGAATGTGTTTTAAGTTTTGCTTTTCAACTTCAATTTATTTCCCCAAAATCAGTCTCTCTCAGACCCTGACTTTCCCATCAGAGAAAATAAAGGAAGAAATTACATGACCCAAGATTCATACTTCCTGTTTTCTGCCAATGACATCTACAAAGTCAATAAGGGAGAATTTCACCTTAAAACAGTAACAAAATCCATACCCAAGGTTATAGGCTCAACTGTATTCCTCTACCCTGTGAGAATCAGCCACAGTGGATATAGCACATTAGACCGCAGCAGTCAAGAAGACCTGAGTTCAAACGTGCTCAGGCACTTAATAGCTATATGACCTTGGGCATGTTACTTAATCGCTGTTTCCTCTCCTTATCTATAAAATGGGAATAAAAATAGCACTTATTCCCCAAGGTAGTTGTGAGAATAAAATGGTAGGTATTATTGTTACTGTTATGCACTACTTCTCTACCTGGCCCCTGAAAAGTATAAAAACATCTCCATTCAGGTTGAGAGGCCTTAATAAGTCATTCAGTATTAGGGGTAGTGATCTCAACTATTCTGAGCATATTACCATTATGTAATCAAGGGTCTGGGATATACGATATCTCTTGGTTGTCTGAGCCTCTGGTCCAGGACCTGCAATGAACCATGCTCTGCTGATGGGCTTGGTAATTGACACCTGTTTCTATTTATGCCTCCAATAAACTCCATTCTACAACTGCTAGTCTGTCATGTGGTCATTTCGCACGCTTCTTGATTAGAACCCAAGCACTAATCAGCTTGGCCTTCCATCGTAATGACAATATTTCTCACACTGATTTATAGGTTTAATGGAATACTAAGCAAAATACCAGCTGATTATTTTATAAAGCTGTATGGAATCATAATTAAATTTATATGGAAAAATTAAAATATGAAACAGCACTTTAAAAAAACAGATGATGAAGGATTTATTGAACATGACTTTCAAACATACTACAAATCAATTTTCACCAAAATTATCTGGCAGTTTAGCAAAAAAAGAATAACAGATTAATGGAATAAAATAAAGAGCCCCAAAATAGAATCAAGTGTATAGAAAACATTAGGGCTTGACTAACGTAAGGATAAAAACAATAAAATACAGGGGAAATATGTGATTCAATTAAATTAAACAAATATTTATTATTAAGTACTAACTTGCCAAAAAACTATACCAGGCACTAGGGAGACAAATAGGAAAAAGCAAACAGTTTCTTCCCTCAAAGAGTTTCCATTCTAATGGATTCATGATTCAATAAATGTTGTTGGGAAAGCTAAATAGCAAAGTGACCAAAAAAAAAAGAATTTAATAGCATTATACACATTACATTACATCTGGATTAATGAATAAAACATCAAAAGAATAATAAGTGTTTTAAACTGGCCTTACATATTTATCTCATTTGTAGAAAAGGGATGTTTATTGAAGGAATCATTATAAATAAGGTAGGTAGATTAAACTACATAAAAATAAAATATTTCTGTGTAACAAAAAAATACAAGCAAGATAAATGGAAAATAATTAGGGAAAATATTTATAGTAAATGTAACATTAAAACTTAATACCTACAAGAAACTGATACAACTATTGATACCTAATCCCCAGTAGATAAAATGATTAAAGGATATGAACAGATAAGTTATATAAGAATACAAACTGGGGCAGCTAGGTCACCTACCCTGAAGTCAGGAGAACCTGAATTCAAATCCAACCCCAGACACTAGCTGTGTGACCTTGGACAAGTCACTTAACCCCAACTGCCTTTTTTAAAAATGCAAATTACAAACAATTGTTGAAAAATGTACAAATAAGATGATGGTGAGGTAGCTTGGTATAGTGGATAGAGTGCCAGAATCAAAACGAGGAAGACCCAGGTTCAAGTTCAGCCTCCAGCACCTATTAGCCACGTGGGCCTAAGCAAGTCACTGAAACTCCCAGTGTTCTGGGCAACTTAAGATAGCAAGTTGCAGAGAATGTACCTGAGTGGAGGGAGCTTCCTTACCTAGTCTCTATGCCTAATAAAATGAAGTTCAATGTTGATGCTCCCTAAGAGATGCAAATTGAAACAGCTCCAAGGCACCAACTCCAATGAACCAAATTGGCACAAATGACAAAACAGTGCAGGTGGGGTTTGTAAAGAAACAGGTACATCCACGCATTACAATGCATTAATTGTAGAATTGGAAATCAGTTGCTGTTTATTCTTTTCAGATGTGTCCCCATTTGGAGTTACCTTGGCAGAGATACTGAAGTAGTCTGCCATTTCCTTCTCTAGCTCATGATGAGAAAATTGAGGCAAACAGGTTAAGTGACTTGCCCAGGGTCACACAACTAGTAAGTGTCTGAAGCACAATTTGAACTCAAGATGAGTCTTCCTGACTCCACATCCAGCACTCTATCCACTGAGTCACCTAGCTGAAATTCTTCTACACCTTAGTAAATGGTTTAATACTGTGATGATGTTGACCATGCCCCTGGATTGAGTTAGTCTGAATTTAATTAGGCTGGTCTTTAGATGACAGATAGTTTTTTGCCAAGGCCACATTCCAAGTCTTTCTACCTTCTAGAGATGGCTTAGTCAACTTGGTATTGCCTTCAAGAGCCTGGGGTCACCTCTGTGTCATAACAAGGCATCAAAAATGAAAAACACACACACACAAAGAGATATTATAATTGTTTTGTATTTATAGGACATTTTCTTATTTCTTTGATCTTTTTTGAGATATAGGCTTTGACCCAGCAATACCTCTACTAGGCCTATCACCCAAAGAAATCAAAGAAGGAGGAAAAGTACTTACATGTACAAAAAAAAAAAATTATAGGAGCTCTTTTTGTGGTGGCAAAAAAAGCTGGAAACTAATACAAAAAAATGTATAGCAGCTCTTTTTGTGGTAGCAAAAAAACCTGGAAACTAAGGGGGTATCCCTCGTTTGGGGAATGGCTGACCAAGTGTGATGGAATATTATTGTGCTATTAAGAAATAAGACAGTTTCAGAAATACTTGCAAAGACTTGTATGAACAGATGCAGAGTGAAGTGAGCAGAACCGGAGAACATTGTACACAGTAACAGCCACATTGCACAATGACTAACTTTGATAGACTTAGCTCTTCTCAGCAATGCAAGGATCTAAGACAACTCCAAAAGACTCATGATGGAAAATGCTACCCACATCCAGGAAAAGAACTATGGAGTCTGAATGCAGATCAAAGCACATCATTTGCTCGAGCTCTCTCTCTCTTTCTCTCTTTTGTTTCTTCTTCCCATTGTTTCTAATTCTTCTTTATAACATGACTAATGTAAAAATAGGTTTAATATGAATGTATATGTACAGCCAATATCAAATTGCACATGGTCTTGGGGTGAGGGTTGGGGAGGGATGGGGAGAAAATTTGGAACTCAAAATCTTATGAAAGTAAATGTTGAAAACTAAAAATAAATAATTTTTTTAAAAAATTTAAAGTAACTGGAAACTAAAGGGGTATTCCTCATTTGAGGAATGGCTAACCAAGTGTGATGGAATACTATTGTGCTGTTAAGAAATGAGATAGTTTCAGAAATACCTGGGAAGACTTGTATGAACAGATGCAGAGTGAAGTGAGCAGAACCAGAAGAACAATATATAACATCACCATTGTAAAAATAAACAATTTGGAAGAACTTAAGATTCTGATCAACCAAGATTCCAGAGGATAAATGATACAGAATGCTACCCATCTACTGATAAAGAGGTAATATGGAATATGGAAATTCCACATGGAATTTGAGACACACATTTTTGGACTGCGTGTGCATGTGGAAATTGGTTTTCTGTGACCATGTTGCTGAAAAAGCTGCTTATTCATTCATGTGTTTTTCTTTCTTTTTTTTCCATTTAGGAAGGGAGAAAAATAAATTTTTGATAATAAAAAACATAAAATTTAATTTTTAAAAAAGGACCTGAGTAGAAAATAATTTAAGAATCATAAATTGAAAGCTATAAAGAAATATGGAGATATGCAAAACAATATAAAGCAGAGAAAATAAAATTACAACAGTATAGATATTATGACTATATAAAAGAAGGCACAAATACAGAGGTAAATGTATAAGTAGAATAGGAAAGAACATAGAGAGAATAACTGTTATACACATTTGTATATAAAATTTCATTTTTAAAGTATAAATAATTTTAAATGTATATTTAATTGGTTTTATTATTTATATTTATTTATATCAGGTTATTTTTAGAAATGTCATGTTATTTTTGTGATGACATTTCTTATAATACATTTAAAGTTACTTTCATGCATATTTATTGTCTCTCCATCTAGACCAATATTCTTGAGAAACAGAAGGGCTTTTTCTTCAATTTGCTCAAGATCTCCCCAAACCTTTACTACAATGTTTTGCCCAAATACAGAAAGTCTTCGCTGAAAATAGCATGGCCTCCCACCCTTCCACATTAATGTTCACCAAGGCTCTTTCCCTAAATCTTCTTCTATCTTTCATTGTCCCCCTTGATGGTCTCATCTATTCCTACATCTTCATAGAACCATGAAAAGCTGGAAGGGGCCTAGAGGATACCCTAGAGGTTGCATCTTAAAGGTGCAGGCCCCTCATTTTACAAATGAACTGAGTAAATATCCTGCCCAAAGTCACAAGTGTAATAAGAGATAGTCCAGCATTAGAATTCAGGCTCTATGCCTCCAAGTTCAGCCTTCTTTCCATTACACCATGATTCAGTTATCACTTCTATGCAAATGACTTCCAAATCTATATTTCTACACTTACTTTCTTTCCAGAGTTCCAGTTCTGTATTTTCAAATTTCTAACTCAACATATCCCAAACTCGATTATCTTTCCTTTTAAATGCTCCTTCTCACACCTCTAGTTTTTCTATTTCTGCTGATGTTGCTACCATTCTCCCAGTTACTGAGGTTCATTACCTTCAAGTCACAGTTGACTCTTCTCTTTCCTTCAGAGGGTCATAGCTCATAGGCATATAGAATTATAGGTATATAATTAATAATATAAGCTTATAGGTATGTAGAATTAAAGTTGGTAAGAACTTAGAGGCCATCAAATCCTACCCCTTGGGCTCTGATTGGTGAAC